AGGCCAGCCACTCAGCAACCAATAGAAGCGTTCCATGCATTCTTCAAGCGCTCTTTATGCTCGCAGTCCCACACAGACGTGGTTCAGGCTCTCTCGGACAGCGTCGGCGCATGGTCGGCTCCTCTTCGAGAAAACGAAGAGCTTGGCTCCAAGCTCACGAGCCTCATGGCACCTCCGGAGGTAATGTCGTTCCAGCGGCCCAAATCTCCGGACAGCTGGATGCTGTCAACGGGCCAGGTGCTCAGGGCACCATTTGGCAAGCTCAAGTTTTACCCCGGCATTGCTCCCCTGGTCAGACGGCTGAAAATGCCGAACAGCAGGCCAGGCGGCCAGGGCTGGTTCAAGTCAGTGGATGCATCACCCTGTCGTAAATGTCAGAAGAGGAGCAATAAGATTGCCCTGGCACAGGTTCGCACATGTCGTCTACACCGGCCCGCAGAAATGGATGTGCATGGCGCAGGCCAAGCCTCGAGAAATTCCTGGTGGGCTGGCGAAGCAAATGGTGGAACAACTCAAAACGCGGCGAGCGCCTGCTCTGGAAAAGCTCCTTCTCGAGTCTGGAATATTGCAGAAAGACGACGCAGCGGGCGAGATACATGAAGAAGCAGGGATACGCTACGACTCCGCCACCTACGACCAGATCTGGGGGGACTTCTGCCTGTGTTGGCAACCCCCATCGGAGCCGTACGTCGTCTGCAGCTGCTGGCAGTACTCTTGGATTGGGCACTGCTCGCACCATTACGCCACAGAAGCTTGGATTGCTCCGACGTTTTGTCGTCCTTTACTCCGGTTGTTAAGGCACAATGTTCTTGCCAAGATCAAGAATCAAGAAAAGGTGCTTTTCTGGCCACGGACCATAGCGGAGTAGCGGGAGCCGTGTTTTCAGCCTTTTCATTCCACGAAATCTTCAGAAAGTGGGTTCCCAGCATGTCTTCCCCAGTGCCGCACCAGGAAGTAGTTTGGGGCCTTCGACAGCTTCCCGACAAGCCGCTGCAGCCTCCTCCGCCAAACGGCCGTGAATCCCGCCGCGACACTCTGATGATGAAGGACTCTACATGCATCCTCGAAAGAGGCGGTAGCCACGTCTCCTTTTGCTGACCCTGCTTTGCTGCAGCAAGTTCAGTTTCCGATGCCTGCGCCTGTGGAAAGCGCATGGCAATTCGATAAATATCTACGTGTTTGTACATTGTAGCTGCGACTCTCTATATGTCTATATTTGTCCACAGGCCTGCATCATCCGATGGTTAAACTGTCCAGTACGAGACTATTCACAATGTACAGCTGCACGCACACACGCGCGTGCGCCCTTTTTCCTGGCTCCGTTCTGCCGCAAGCAGTTTCCCGGAGCCCTTGCACAGATGCGCGTAGCAGCATAGCAACCTGCTGGTGAATACTGCTGCGTCATGAACTTATCGTTTTGCCTGCATTTTGCCTGTCTGTATCGTGCGCCGTGGTACAGGCGGCTTGCGTGGACCTCGATGCTGTCGATGATGATTACGACGTTTATCTGGACAGTGACAAGGCGCGACAGTTTCTTGAGTCAAAACCTGCATGTGGGCGCCTCAGAGTCTGTTGCCTCAACTGAGCTCCTGTGGTCCGCTAATGACTCTAATGTGTGTCCGCTGTTCTCTGGCTTCAGGCGGTTCCGGCTGCTGGGATGGTCACCATAGACCTTGTGGAACGAGTCTGCTGCTCGAGCCGGCAGCTGCCATAGACAAGGGCGCTATTCGCTTGAGAGCCTGCTGAGGTGGAGCAAATCGAGTCGACACCGACACCCCCCGCGACACCCGGAACGCCCAGCGCTTCGCAGGAGGGGTCATGCAGGGCCGCACCTGTGTCCCAGCTGTGTAACCCATAGTGGCTATCCGCCAACAACGCCTTTGTCCGAGTCACCTTCACCGGAGAAGGGCCGCCTCAGTCAGGTTCGTGGCTCGGTTCAGACGCAAGCAAGAGCCCTCGCACTCCCAAATACGATCTTGCTCAGGCCTTGGCGTCGCCAGAGACAGAGGCGGGGCGGAGCCGTTTCACATGGACAGAAGCCAAAGCGGCAGGGGGGGAGGTGGTCAATGATGCTCAGGAGCCGCGCACGCCGCAGAATCGGTTGCGCAGATCTTCTTCCTTTTCTGACAAGGCCCAACCGTTTTGAACCAGCTGCAAATGCACTGCAGAGGCTGTTGTTGGCATGATTGTTGGCCCATGAAGGTAGCCTCCTTGCTGGTGCTGCCGGGCGGTTTCGATCGGAAGATGCTCGTTTCGGGAGATGTGGCAGAAAAGCTCCTGAGGATGGGTCTGGTCGAAGAGATTCAGTCCGGAGTCGGAGGCCGCCAATACGCGGTGGCGTCCCCACTTGCGGAAATGCCACCGCATGAACAGTGGACACAGCTAGAAAGCGTGGCCTAGCGACGATGTTGGCCGCAAGAGAATGATGAAAATGGCCGAGGCGCACAAGGACAGGGGTCTGGGGGTTCGGATTGCAGGGTGCAGGAATCAACAGTGGAGTGGAGGCTCCGAAGCTGTGTTGATGAATAAGGGATGTACAGTGAAATGCCTGTAAGAACCCCGTTCGGCGAGAGTAGCCCCTTTGATTTTGCCAGTCAAGAAGCTAGGGTGGGCTAAGGTTCTTAACCACTTTCTTATCCGGAGAGCGATGAACGCTTTGACTGAGGGCTTTTCCTGGTGGGGGGGGGCAGTTGGGGGCTGGCCTTGGGAAGAGCCGCTGCGGGATGGCAGCCCTGCGGCATGACACCTGCGGGGTTCGAAACAACAGCCTTGTTCTAGAGACAATGCGCGGAACCGCTGAGCTATGGGAGCCTGCTTTGACGGGTTCAAAGGGTAGACCGCCATGTTTTCAGTCAACAAGAACTCCCAATTTTGTGACAATGATTCCAGATCTTGAGGTTGAATTCGCCACAGCTTCGGGGTCTTGACTTTGTCTACAATCTCCACAACATCGTGAAGTTTTCTGTTCCGCCATGCTCGTAATTGTCATGCTTTACAGTCCTCGCAAGGACCCTGTGGCGGAGCAGGAGGAAAAGGCAGATGGTGCCGAGGCGCGGCAGTTCAGGTAACGCTTGTTGGGCATCCCGGTCGGGTTGAGGATGCAATTGCCGTGGGCATTCCAAAGCATGTCCAGCTTGGGTTTGGCAGAGTATGCTTGGTTTCGAGTCAGGTCTTCTGGGACTTAACTTCAAAACAGCCGCCAGCATAAACAACTTTGCAGCATCAGCAAGAGTCGGTTTTGCAAAGAGGTTGTCTTCGAGTGCAATAGTGGCAATCTTCCTAGTGCGGCCGTATCTCGCGAGACTCATCGTCCATGACTGTCCATGAACACATTGGAGCATGTGCGTCGCTGTGTAGCACGTTTCAATTCCGGACCGTGAGCAAGTATGTCTTTCACATTTAAGGACAGCAAGTCGGCTGGGGCTGAAACGGCTTCCGCAGCTGCTGGCGAGGCAGAGGCTGAATCTGGGGTGCATATTGACCAGAGGGGGACGGGGACTGAGAGCTTCCGACTATGCAGCACCGTGGTGACCACTAGACCATCTGTTTCATCGCATTCTGTCTGGATATTCAGAAGGCAAGTCTTCCATCCCGAGGCTTCCAGCAGTGAAGCTGCAAAGCCACAACCCCAAGTGAAAACCGGGGTCCTTGAAGCTGTATGCTCTCTTGGTTGCCGCCACGAAAGCAATTCCGTACTAAGCCCTACAACTGCAGCACGAGAAGACTCCGTGATATGTGATGAGCTTGTCGAACTGTGGGCTTGGCCGCGGCTTCAGCAGAGCTCACGTAGTTTGGTGGAGAGGGTAGTTGTGGAGCCAGAACCCCCCAAACGCGCTAAAACGATAAGTCTACTTGACAGGATAGGACAGGCTGCTAGAAGCGAGCGCCAGCGAGGACCCTGAACGAGGCATTTCCAGTACTAAAGTTATACTACAACCAAGCACAATCCACCAGACCCCATACGAAGCATTTCCAGCCCTAAAGCTGTTCCACAGCCCACGCACAAGCCAGCCAGGACCCACAACGAGGCATTTCCAGTACTCAATTTCCAGTACAAAAGTTGTACTACAACTAAGCACACTCCAGCCAGGACCCTAAACGAGGCATTTCCAGTCCTTCAGTTGGACGATATTGTCTTCGGATGGACGCCGACTCATGTAAGGTTTGGTGGGGTTACGGGTGCCGCAGCACGAGGAGTGGCATGCTTTTGCTTCCAAATGGTCAGGGGTGAACAGAGGTTCTGCAAGGGCTCTTTCTGGGGTTGCAACAAGGGAACGAAGGGAAGAACTAGAAACTGGGATAGGGACTCGGGGTACAATATCGTAGAATTATAAGGGAACTGTGTATTCTGGCCGTGAAGCCTTCAAACTCCAAAGCGCCAACAAAACCACTTGAAACAAATAAGTTTCAGAAAACTCCCTCAAGCCCAAAACGAAGCTTCGAATCTCTCTCTCTCTCTCTGAACCCCATACACTCCGAAGCCTTACACTCCCTATGTTGGGCCCAAGCAATGCAACAGGACCGCCCCTCGCCACCTCCTTTGCGACCCGGGCAAGAAGAAGCAGAGGCGTGGAGATCCCTTTCGATCCTTTGTTTACGGTTTGAGAGGGTTGGGAGGTCTTTCGCACTTCGGTGTTGGAGTTCTCTGTTGAGGTTCAATTAGGTTCAGGGTGTGGGACTCTCCGCAAGGGATGCAATTGGCATCTTCGGATGTGCGCAGTGCTTCAGGGTTACATGATAGGAGACATGTAACCCTGAAGCTGAATTTCTTATTATCACTATTCCTAGTATTGGTATATACTTGTTAGTACTACTATTCAAAGTAGCATGTTCCGAGACTCTCCAGCGATTCGGACCCGAAAAGGGTTCTAGGCCACAGGCGGTTAAACAGGAAACCCCGCAAGTGGTCTGTCGGAGCTATGCTGTTCGTAAGCAACGACCCTCACGGCAATTGTTCAATCGCTGCTCTCGAAAGTAGCCTTGACGAACACAGCCACGAGGCGATTTCGCAGGCTTCAGCTGGCAAAGCGCCGCAGATGAAAAAGCCAAGTTTGTTCATCCTGAGGCGCAATTGTCGCAGATGTCAGCGAACTGCACATGCAAAGTCGATTTTTTGTTGACAGAGCGCTGTGCCCGCAGGCCAAGGATACCATCAACGGGACTTGTTTCATCTGCAGAATGAAGTACTTCCGCATCCGAGAAGGTGACATGTGCGTGGACTGCCATGCGACACTTTGGATAGTTGCGGCTTGGTTTCAAAAACTTGTGACGTTCGCACGTCCTAGGGCTTTGATCTCAAATTCCAAACGATGACCCGCTGAATCCCAGGATGCCTCCACTGGTACAGTTGTTGCGCCAAGACGCGAGGCTTGTTTGTGCAATCATGTCTAGGTCCCACAGGCGTGTGGGGCAGGAGGTCTTCAGACTTGAGATTTCGGTATTGCACTGCAGGGAAGATATTAGGCTTGTTCGTGCGAAGGTTGTGGGTATTCCCATACTCGAGCGACGGCTCGTAATCCTTGTCTCATGCTTTTCCGAGTTTTCGTGCGAGGAGCCAGAACCGAAGCGCAAGCCTCCAGCCAAACGGTCCTCCTCGTCCTCCGAGTGCAAGGCTTGGGGGTAGGGCCATGAGAACGCCAAGTGAACATGGTGGCAGCCGTGTTTTCGCCGACAACACCACACCTTTGATATCCTGCTACCAGGCTGCAGCTGCAAAAAAGCCAGCAAAGAAGCCTGAACACAAGTTCAGAGCAAAGGCAGGCACACACGAAGCTCGTCCGAAACCTGGCTCCCATGATTGCTGCTGTCAGGCTGCCGATCCGAAGAAGCCTGCACGCAAGCCCAAAGCAAAAGCGGCACAGGCTCGGCCAGTGTCCTTCTTGACAGCCTTTGGGTTTCAGTCAGAGGGTTAACATAGAGAGGATTCGAGCCCATAGAACGCTTTCGCTGAGAGCATACTCGACCCCTACACCATACCGTTTGAGCTTGCACTATCCCTGCCAGGTTCTTTCTCCAAAGAAGAAGCCTGCGTGCAAACCCAGAGTCACAGAGGCCTCCATTTTGGGAGCCCGGTTTTCGAGCTTTGTGTGCAAGAATCTCGTCCAAAAAGGGGCTCCCTGGTTTCCTGCTGCCAGGTTGCCTGTCCAGAGAAAAGCCTTGTGCGCAAGCCCGAAGTCGCAAAGGCCAGCATGAGTTGTGGGAGCCCGGTTTTGGAATTTTGCATGCAAAAATCTCTTCCGAAACAGGGCTGCATCTCCGAAGGTGGCTGCACGGAAGCGCAGAGGGGAAGAGGCCTCCTCCGTTCTGGGAGCCCTGTTTTCCGGTTTTGCATGCAAAAATCTCTTCCGAAACAGGGCTCCCGCTGCCAGGTTGCATCTCCGAAGGTGGCTGCACGGAAGCGCAGAGGGGAAGAGGCTTCCTCCGTTCTGGGAGCCCTGTTTTCCGGTTTTGCATGCAAAAATCTCTTCCGAAACAGGGCTCCCGCTGCAAGGCCGCACAGAAGGTGCCTGCACGCAAGCCCAGAGTGGAAGAGGCCTCCGTTGTGGGAGCCCTGTTTTGGGGTGTTGCACGCAAAAATCGGTGCCTGCACGGAAGCCTAGACTGGAAGAGGCCTCCGTTGTGGGAGCCCGGTTTTCGGGTTTGGCAAGCAAAAATCTCTTGCGAAACAGGGCTCCCGCTGCCAGGCCGCTTCTTTCCAGAAGGAGCTTACACGGAAGCCCAATGTCCCAGAGGCCACAATCACTATCCATGTTGGGAGCTTGGTTTGAAAGGTCTGCACACTTTTGCACGCATTTGAATAGTTCAAAATGGCAGGTTGCGTCTGCGAAGCAAAAGGCAAAGCCTGCAAGCAAGCCGAGTGTCAAGGAGGAGGCCAACGTCCGCTATGAAAGGGTTGCACACAGTTTGCTCAATGAGGGTCGTCTTGATTTCGCCAGGGTGCATCCTCCGTCACAGAGGCCAATGTTGGCCCGGTCACGACTGTTCCAGTGATGCTTGTCAAGCAGTGAGATCCACCCGCATACGCTGTAGATTCAAGCATGTTGAAGCTGGTTGAAGCTTGCTGTCATGTCTAAAGAATTTGAGGAAACTTCGCTGCTTGGTTTGGCGAGGGGCTCACTCCTTTGCAATGGTGAAAGCAACTGGAAAGCGCCCTCTCCTGACTGCTTTGCAAAAAGCCAAGCAACTGCGTGAGATGCTGGCCAGTTTGCCGAAATCGTCCCGTGGCAACCACGACAAGAGGGATGCCCGTCGATTGGTGCGAGATCCTTCACGATCCCAGTGACGCGATTTGCAAGACTGGCCAAGGCGGGAGTAGACTTAACAAGCGATTTCCGTGCCCACGCCACTCATTTGAATTTAATGGCGCCCCGACTTCAGGATACAATGGCTGAGCTTCAGCGAGACAGTCGGCTACCGGTGAGATTGACGGAGGAGTCGCTATGCGTGCTGCAGGCCTCCTTGGAAGACTGTCTTGCAAAGTTTTGCAATGAGGGTCGCAGATGCATGCGACACGCTGGCCGACGCACTCTTTGGCCAGCCGACCTTCGCCTGGCTGCATCCGTGCGAGCTGATGATTTGTTACTTGCTGGATGGCGACCACAAGGTCCCGCGACACCGGGGGAACGCAGACGCCTGCACCCGTGACTTCCGCGACTTCCGCGGAGTGAGGAAAACATCAAAGGGTCGACTGCATGCGCTTCTCTGTGTGTGTGTGTGTGTGTGTGCGCGTCTTGTCTTGCTTCTTGCGCACACATCGTGTCGCCGTAGGTTGGGTGCAAGCCTGCCGTGGTTAAGAAAAATCCTGTCAGGGTGCAAAAACCCCATGTTAAAGCATGGTAAGTGCACCATCTCGTGCGGGGGGGGGGGGGCCGGGCACGCATTGGCAGCCTTTCATAAATACTTTCTATGCACCTAGAAAGTCGAGGAATGCTCGGAACGGTGTGAGTGGGGACGGCAGCAGAGCGGTGGGGACGGTGAGGGTGGTGGGGGCGGTCAAGGCGGTGGGAGCACGGGGCAGTGGCCGGTGGGGGCGGTGTGGGTGGTGGAGGCGGCGGCGGTGTGGGTGGCCGCAAGCTGGGAGGGTGGTGAGGGCGGTGAGGGCGGTGTGGG